TTTTTTTTTACTTATTCTACTTATAAGCTCTTATTTCTTCCATTATGATGGTACGGTCAGGGGTTCGAAACCCGGATCAATGCATGCCTAGGCCAACCAAGCCTTCCATCCCTTCGGGGTCGGTTAATTGCTACCAGACTCGTCTCGGAGGATAAAAGCAATAACTTGTACATCGATTTGGCCACCGCAATTCATTGTGTAGGCCGCATACGCACTCATTACGCCACACGATTCTGAATGGAAGTCGAGTGCGGGGGCGCATCCCACAGACGGGATTGATTAACGCCGAAAACCTTATCTTTTATCCTTTTATGATGCGAGTACAGGTGAGAAAGCTGCTCAAAGTCACCCAAAGAGGCTGTAATACGGTAAATATTGTCATGGATGATTATAGACAAGCCATTTGCTTTCGTGAAATACCACCCTCTTTTCATTTGAATACGCCCAAAGTTTTTGCACGCACTAAAAACACGGCTGCTCGCGCAACTGCAGCAGTTGCGTAAGTGGAGATCGCCTTTCCAGCATAAAGCTCGAGCTCCAGGAGGAGTAGGGGCGTCATTTTCGAACGGCATGCCACAGAGCAAGGCAGGTAACTAGGACTAGTTCGAAAAACCTAAGAGACAAGGGTGAGCAAGCGGAACAGCTAGAAAATTCCATCTGGTCTTGCCCCGGTTCTTTGAATGCATGGGCCAAGACACTACAAAAAAGAGGCAGCATGGCGTATAGTTGAAGAGTGGCCCATAGCCTGAAAAGTTTATTTATCCCAGCAGATATACGGGCGTTACGATTTTCTCTGGAAAACTTTCTGTTCCGCAAAATTTTCTCGTTGAACCTAGTGCAAGTGTTGAACTTGGCCATGCCAATTGTAGCGGGAGACGGACAGTAGGATCGATTATATGTAATCGATTCGCCGCGCGCGGCAGTCGTGGACCTTTCGCCGCGTTATTACAGTTCTAGCGTTTTTCTTACAGCTCAATCGATATGCGATCATTATTTTGGGCATGATTCTAATGTTAGTTCTTTTGTTCCAGTTTTCATACTTGCTGTTGCATTCTGCTACATTCCTTCGCGCGCGGCGTCTCTCTTACCGCGGCGCGACGATTTCGATCCTAAAGTGCCACATCCAATTGTAGCGGGTGTTCCAGAAAAATGCATAGTCAGTCGGACAAGTTCTATCCAAGTAGAAAATAGCTGATATTCTAGCATGTGCAGCTTTGAGTGCCTCCTTTGACGGGCCTTCCGAAAACAGCAATTCAAGATTTATGCCTCCATTTACATGTTAAATTAGAAGTTTACCCTACTTCTGAATAGCTGAGACGGTCGCTATGGGAGCTATGAACTTTATGGATCACCCAACTTGAGTCCCTTTCTCTTCTGGGCGCCGACAAAACTTCTGTTCTATTTGCTCAAGCTTAGCTGCAAATGTTCGCTGTTGTAATAGCTAGCCTGCTCTTTCCCCATGGAAATCGAAAGGTTCGAGAGATGATTACCATCGTTCTCAGATAAAACAACGGCATTTTGCAGCCTTATTTGAGTGGAGAAGGGGGAGCATCTAGTAAAACTCTACAGCATTGTTCAGAAGGGAGATTCCAATTACTACATTTCTGTCTAATCCATCCAACAAGTGGCTGATGGTGTTACCCCGACAAGTGTCAGTATTGAATGGAAAAGTGACAAGAACTGGCCACAAATGACCCAATGCTCTCATGCCTTTTCGACCCTATCGCAGAGGAGGGGGGGGGGGGGGGGGGGGGGGGGGGGCAGAAATTCTTCCTTAGGAACATTCCTCCAACATTTAGATTTTCGTAAAGTCTCCCCAGCATTGAAAATATTAGCATAATTGCTGTCAACCCGTCTGCAGTGTCAGAAAAACAAAAACAGCGGTGACGTTCGGGCGTCACTACTCTTTGTCGGGTACCGCCGTCCGCCCGGTGGGTGGTTATGAGACGTCACATCAGCAGCTGTGGGTAGGGTAGGCATTACGTCACAAAAAGTGTGTGCGTCAATGAATTATCCACTTAATGGAGGCCATTGGTGAATGTATTGCTCTTGCATCCTGCGGTAGGCTTTCATGAAGCGGATTGCCCGAATAGCAAAAACGCCTGAATTTCATAAAACATTATTAAGGCCAGCTGTTTGGCCGGTAGCTCCCTTCCGCACCTTGCTGGAGCTGCTATCAATCTATCAATAGGCTTCGGCGCGTGAGTATATGCTGTGCTAGTGTCACCCTTCTTACCCGGGTACCTCCCTTATTAAGCAAGATTCAAACGCGAAGGGCAAATCTGCCATGATCACAACGAAGCTACCTGGGAGCATATCACAGCCATTCGCCAAACCACGAGTGACTCCTAGGATACGATTCCATGGCATCGGGACAAGCTGCAGCTCGGAGTTCACCGAGGCCGGCCATTTAACACTTTCTGATTTTATGTTCAATTGTGGGTATTTTTCGTTTTTCGAGTAATGTGAGGTCATTTTCAAATAAGGGTTTCTTCAGACTCTCTTTGGGTCTTTAAAACTACAACCGAAATAGTTTGCGAACAGGCTCTCTCAGATCTCACGATCAGTGTCCACACGCATTGCCATACGCTGAAATGGATCTCAACTCAGCACTGATTCCCACTCAGTACACGAGAAATGGTAATTTACGAAGACGTGGATAGAAGATAAAGCGGTCGGCGATGTGCTGCATTTCCACCACTAGGCCACCCACCCCACCAAATTGCTGCATCATACTGTTGAACCATAGCCTTTTGTGATAAGCGCCTTGGCTTAGAAAGGCGTTTACCTCCTCCCAGACGAGTCTAATGAGGAATCTGCCCAATTTTTTCCGAACAGCCAGCTTAGGTGGATGCTGAATGGATCTCTCTTCGTAGATGCTCACATCACTAGCAAATGCACCAGCTGGTTACTCTGATTCATAGGTGATAAGGAAAGCCAAGCTATCTGATGCAATGTCAAAAAATAAAATTCACAAAGTCTCTGCAAGATATTTACTGAAGTCAATGTTGAAGATGAAGTCATCCATGGATCCAGGCGTTATTCCCATTACGCTTGACCAAAAACTTTTCCCAAAGGCGATAGGATTCGATGCCACCCACCATAGAAAGTTTTCACCTGATATCTATCTGGAGCTGGGGTAGTGGCAAGTGGCGCACTTCACACATGAATGGTCGCCGGTTCGAATCTCAGATCGATATCTGTCTAGGCCAACCAAACCTTCCATCCCTCTGGGGTCGCTTAGTTGGTACCAGACTTGTTTGGGAGGATAAATGCACTGACTTGTACATCGGTTGGCCACCGCAAGTCATTGTGTAGGCCACATACGCCTTCAATACGCCACTACGATTCTGAAAGGAAGTCGAGAGCGGGGTGCGTCCCTCAGACGGGATTGGTTTACGCCCCAAGACGTTATCCTTCACTTTTACTTTTATCCATCTAGAAAAAGCTGAAACGATCGAATCCATACGTGTTCTTTGGTGTATGAGAAAGAAATTATTCTTCACTGAGCTGCCAGTCAGTCACTTCTGTTGGCAACTGACGTGATTTATTGCTATCGCCCCACCGGTTTGTGCTTTAAGTGAACTCTACTTTGTTCCGCTGTTGATAATAAACAATGACGAACAAATTAATAGTGAAGGCACTAAAATACATGAGGCTCATGTGTTGGTTCCGAAGCAGAAAGATGAGCAAAGCTCAAGGTTTGCTGTGTGTGTCTGAAAGTGTGTCTGAAATGAGTGGAGCTTGCCTACGATAGGCTTGGTATGCTACCAAATGGAAGGTTGTTGCTTCGAGAAATCATCGAACTACTCAAATGCTTCTCAGAGCTCGAAAAAAGTACCAAATGGACGGAGATCACGGGAGATGAGATGTGCATAAGGAGAAATTGGAAAATCCTTTCAGGAAAAAAAAGTAGACGAAGATTAGCAAAAGCGTAGCCGGGTTTTTCACGATGTATGGGAAGCACATCGAGGACGGTACAGAAGGGATAGGCCCTCGAATGACAATGCCATGGGGGTCCAAACTTCACTCAATAAATTTTATTGACCTTTTATCAAAATCGTCGACTTATTGTCATGATTCTTCAACTTGCTAGTTCCCAACCAAGAAGAAACGGTGGTCCCGAAATCTTCTCGAAGTGCCGTAAGGGCAGCAAACGATGATATTTCATGTCAAAC